TTCAAGGATAGGCTGGACATGCACATGGTGGGCATGTTGCGAGCAGAGTTGGCTGGTGCCAGAGGTCAGACTAGATGGCCTGGGAGGCCCATTCTGAGTTGCTCTGTTTCTATGTTTTTCTCACAACAAGCCTATGTGGCAGATTAGGCCAAGAGTCAACCAGTGAGCATTATACCTTAACTGGAACCCCGATCTCCTGAGTCCAAAACTTTAATCACTCTGCCACACTGGCTCTTTCTTTTGTTCCAATAAGCAAGTTCCCTGTTCAGAAGTAACAGTAAGCTGCAGTTACTGTAAAACAGGAAGCAGATCCTTATAGTCATGTCCCCTGGCATGAATTACAGGAAAGAGATAGAATGGGAGTGCTCAAAACTTAGGCTTAAACAGGCTTCTCTGCATATTACTAAATGATGTTTTAGTATTAATGTATGTTGTAGCAAGGCCTTCCAAAGGGTATCACAAGATGTTTGAATTGGCAGCCATGGTTAATTTTGCATTTCAAGGGCTTTTTTCTGTATTTGTATACTAGAAAAAGGTTCAGCATTAAATTTCTGATTGCCATTAAAGGAACTGTGCTTATAAGAACATTCATTGGTGACCTACTTAAAATATTGCATCTAGGTGAATGTTTCCAGGTATCTACAATCTTTTTACCTAGTCTGGGAAGCTTCTTTGAATATGTTTTTTGTTGTCATGGGAGTTGATGCTTGCACAAGGTTTCTTCCCCTCCCCAGCCCCAATTATTTGCATCACCCTACTATTCCCCACACTCATGCCATGCCAGTACAGTAGCTTCTTGTATCTTCAGCAAACATGATATTTAAAGGCTTCTTACTGGACAAGAAGTAAGATTGTCATGTAAATATTCATGAATGGGTTGACTGGATCAAGACACTCTCCTAATCAATGGAACTTAGTACCATTGTCAATACATGATAAGAAAAGCCAATTTAAGATCCACACAAAATTTTGGTTTGTATGGATTATTTAGCATGCTTGGGCCACACACACACACACTAGTACCAGTGCAGATTCTTAGTTAATTCGAGTGTGTCACTTTTTAGGACTCATGTATGCACACATACATGGCAGGAGTTACAAGGAAGCTATGTGAATAGTATCATTTACTGTACCTACCTTCTGAGACAGCTAGTCCTAGCAGTAACCATAGAATTCATTTTCAGAGAAATATTACATGGAAACCCTTTATAGATGTATTAATTGTATATAACCATAATAAAGCTATTAATGTTTTAAGGAAGTGATTTTCAGTGTGAGATTTGAGGAGTCACAAGAGAACCGTAACATCTCTGCAGAGTGTCTTTCCTTCTCTGATAACTACTACAATCATTAGTATCTGTTGCTATCAGGCTGAAAGACTGTGACTTTCAGACAGACAAACCCAGCCAGCTTTGTTCAGAAAAAGGATGCTAGACTAAGCTGATGATTAGATGAAGAATACCACATAATAAATCAAAGAGGACATCTCGCATGGAAATTACAGTGAAGCTCATGTTAACCTGATTGGAAGGAAAACTTTTTATTATATTTTTCTTCAAAGTTTGGCTTAACATGCTTCATTGATCTTGTTTGCCCTTTTAAGTGTGGCGAAGGATGTTATAAGGTCCTTCCAGTACCAGCTGGTGTGTTTACTAAGAAGTAAGTCCCATTGTATTCAGTGGAACTTACTTTCAAGTAAGTGAGCATAGACTTCAAGCTGTAGTATATAGATTGCAATCTGCTTCTTTTGTTTTGCTTTGTTTTGTTTTGCTTTAAATTTAGAATCCATTCAGAACACCTAACCAGTTAGTTATCAATACCCTGTTTCCAACCTCTTGCATGCTATTATTTTGTTGTTGCATTTCTGTTCTCCCTTTCCTCCAAGGAACCCAAGGCAGCATACATGACTTCCTCCATTCTATTTTCACAACTCTCTGAGTGTCAGTAACTGGCCCAAAGTCACCCAGTGAGGTTCATGGCAGGGTGGGGATTAGAGCCTGCATCTCCCAAGCCCGGTGTAGCACATAAAGCCTGTGGCACTCTGTTTCTTTACTATTCCTAAATCTGTATTTAGGAATCACATAGGTGATTTTGCATCTTTCCGAATACAGGAGAGAGTGATTTGCATTTCAGTGATGATCAGTACAGGAACGATGATGGTGGGAAATTATCCTGTAATATTTGCATGTGCATATATTCTTCTTGGAAGTATGGGGAGGATCTGCATTTTTGTCCTGTTTAACAATATACAATTAATGCATCTTCATTCTAAAGTACAACATACACTGTTTCAGCAGGCTGTGTACAACCAGGAAAACCTAGAGTTCAGTTTTCAGGGTCCAAACTAGGCATCTTGGTGCCTGGGTCAAACAGTATGAAAAGGTCCTTAAGCCCACAACATGTTTAATATTAAATAATAATGGTTGTAATAAATTATAATAGGCAAATGAACAGGTACAGACTGGCATGTTTGAGGTCTGATCCAGCCTGCACCTTGCTGTGATCATTTTCTTCTTGAGTGTGACCACTAGCAGTCTACAGGCAGAGTTCATTTATGAACATTCTCTAACATCTTTTTAAGATAAAGGATACTGAAATGGGCATTTACAAATTATCATCTGATCATGTTTTTGTTTACATTTATATACTGTTCCATATCTAAACAGAGTCTGTAGTACTGAACAAAAATATAAAAAGCATTAAAAACAGTACAAATTGTAGTGGTCAACTTGAAATTGAATTTGAGAGACCTCCATAGGCAGAAAGTTCTATATATATTCCCAGGCGAATAAAAGACAGTTAAGCTATGCACAGACCTCAAAGACTGTTGGAAACTATGCATATTGACTAGAAAATGGGCATATTATCCAGAGAAAGTACAAAAAGTGATCAGGATGCACACATGCTATGAGACCAGTTGGGGATTATAGACAATGGTGGGAAATATGTAAAATGCAGTAAATCTCTGCACATTCCTGAATCTTGATGGAGATTATGCATAGTTCCCACCTCATGAACAGTTAATATGTACATTCTCCATGAAGCATAGTGAATATGCACGGGGCTTTACATTATAAATATTCAACTCGCAAAACCCCCAACATTAATCATAATGTTTGTGTCCCCTTGAATCAGATGCCTGAGGAAAGTCTCTTTCTTTGCTCTCCTTCCTCTCTCTCTCTCTCTCTCTCTCTCTCTCTCTCTCTCTCTCTCTCTCTCGGAGAGCATTCTTATTTCTGTGTATTATTGGAGAGATGCCTTTTGGTGGGGAGGGATTCTTTTGATGCTGTCAGGACAACAGACAAGAACTGTCCCTGTTGCTCTGGTGATCTTGAAGATGAGGTTAGGTGACTGGGAGGGGACTGTCACCAACTAGATTCAAGGGAATCTGGTGGTACCTCGGCCTCAGCCTCCTTCCCCTTTGCTTCAAAGCACCTTACCTGGGCAGACAAACCACTTCATCTAGCTGAGTTGCATGGCAGAAGGACACTGGGCCTGCCCTTGCTTCTGTGCTTTTTCCCTCCATAGTACACTTACAATCCCGAGTTTGGAGGGACCTGGGCATCCTGATGGGATTGCATCATGCCTTGACTGGAACTAAGTAACTTGAGCAATTGCTACAATTACATATTCATTGAGTAATGAGTGAGTGTTCTTGATGCCATGCAAATTAAAAGGTAATTACTTCAAAAGAAACAGGTTTCTTCCCGTTATACCCTTAATCACTCTTTTTGAAATTGAACACCCATTTGGCTGGCTCTTTGTCCTTATGATTATGTTTGCTTAACCAATACAACCTTACTTTATAAAGTTATTAATAATGTGCTAACCAAAAAAGGTTTGTCTTGACAAAAGAACTATATAACAGAACAGAAATTTGTAAAATATTATTAGACTTGAGTCTGTTCGCAATGGCAATCTTTGGTTTGTTAAACCAAGAAATACTGTGTAGCTGAAAGGTTATATTTATGCTCGCCAATGAAAGGTGTCCACCAAGAAAGGGATGTACTTTCACTGCTTCTCATTCAGAAGTATTGGACAACTTACTGAGCTATCTCTTTATGTAAAAACATAAACATATTTTGGAAATTGGTAGGCCAGGAAAAATTGCCCAGCATTGTATGAAATGTCTGGGAGTCAGCTACTCAAAAAATGCTGTCTGGACATAAATTAATTTGCATGTATTTCCAGAAAAGGGTGGTTTAGCAGTTCCATGTCTTATAAACCAGGGGTGTGCAATTTGTTGCTCTCAATTTATAGGACATCTTGTAAAAAAGTTGCCCACTCCAGCTTAAATTATTTGAGAAGTATTGCTTAGTTGACGTGTAACATGATGGAATTCCAGTGAGGTCATCACAATTACTATTATTGCTGATAATCCTATTTTTAGTGTTTGTGTTAACATTGTTCAGCTATTGTTTGTGTGTCAACCTGGTGTTCCATGTTGCATGCTGTCTTGGTTCATATTGAATGTTCTTATTTACTGTTATTTCTTAGTTCCTTAGTCATCTTTAAAATAAATTCTCTTACAAATACTGCTGATGATCAATTCTGCGAATAATCAGTTTTGCTGCTAATGACAGTGTTGGAATCTGTACCTTTATTTTTGTGAAAAAGAAAGATATGATTATGATTACTCATATGTAATGTTAGGGAATGTATTCCTACACACGTTTGTCTTGATTTTTTTTCTGTTATTGCAGTCACATTAATCAAATGAAACTGTATGAACTGAGTTCAGATACTTAACACTGAATCCTTGGAATGGTAATACGTGTTGGGCATGGCGTACCCAAAGCAAGATTTATATGTGGTGGTATGAATTAAAATTTAGCAAGGATATTTTTTGAGATCATCTTGAGAAACAGCAACTCTGTGCTTTGGTCAAATTAGTTCTTGTAGTTGTTTCAGAATCCTTATCTCCGTGTATAAGCCTTTAGTTTAAATTCAAGAGTCATAACTAATATACTTTCTTTTCTTTAATTCTTGCTTTTAAATAGCTGCCACAATCACGAGAAATGGAAAGCTCTATAGAGGTGTGTCATTCACCTATATTTGTAAAACATACAAATATTGGTGGTTCTGAAAGTAGCTGTGGTTGAATGTCTGTCTCTGTCTTTTTTGTGGCTGGAGTTGTGCTCAGTTCAGTACAGTTTAGCCCATGATTTTTGCATGTTTTAAACTGCTTGGATTATTGTTCAAAGTGGACAAATGAGGTAAGAAAAGCAAATAGCCAAGGATCATGACTGTTACTTCTGACAGATTCACAGACTTATTATCCAGGCAGTATTGAACACTAGATCACTATATCCCTCGGATTAGTAAAAGAAACCTGTATGTAGCAACCTTCACCTATTTCTGATTTTATTATCGATTTTATTAGTGCATTTAGAACACTTATCCCACTCTTTATGAGCCTCCTGAAGCTGAGCACTTTGCCCACTAGTCTTTTAGGTCATGTAATCCTGCTAAAGTGGGACAATAGAACCTTTTAACAGTATAAGTGGCTCGTACCATAGTAAGTTGCTATGGTAACATACGGAAACTACATGTAGGAGAAGAGCGCAGTTCAGTGTTCTAGATGCTACATATTGGTAACTCATAAATAATGGGCATTAACTTCTTATCAGCTCCATTAGTTTTAAGTATTAAATTGACACATTTTTCACATTATCTGCAATTATGTAGACAGCATAATATGGGGTCTGGAATATTGCGGGTCTTGACCAATTTCTGTGATACCTCATTGCCCAAATGACATCCTGGGCATTGCAGAAATTGCTGCAGTGGAGACAATAGGTGCTGAGGGAGGTCCCATAAATTGTAGAGGGTGGTTTAATGTTTGACTAATCTCTCAATAATTACAGCAACTTTGTGGGACATTTGAGGGAATCATGATTTGGGCAAACATATTCACAGTATCAATGCATACAGATGCATTTTCCTGAGCAATTCCTTTTCTGTCCCTTCTGTAAAGAATGGCTTAAGCTCTTAGTTGCTTAGGTAAAACCTGTCATCAGTTTGTGCATAGTAGCTTGAATGTTTTCCCTTTAAATAGCAAATCTCTAAACAGGGATGGTGGATTATGGGATTTTGATCAGAACGGCTAGTGTCAGGTAATATTGCAGCAATAGTCTGATTCACGTTCATCTGGATTGCCCAATGACTCTTCAAAGATTTGAAGAATATATTATCATTTTATAAAGCTAAGTTCGAATTCATATGGCTGGTTCAGACACAGCACCAACACTTAGTTTAGCTTTGTGTTGAAGCTGCAGTGAGCTTCAGTCTTAAGTATTCTTCTCTCCTCCTCTTTTACGTGAAGTTGGAAGAGATCAAAACTTCTGCTTTTCTGATTAAACTCTCCAGAGTTTACTGGATTCAGCAAACAAACTTTGAATAATATGAAATCAGGTAGATGTGTCCCATTGTCTCCTTTGGGTGTGTGCTAGAGGAGGAAGAATGGGGGAAAGTGTAAATCCAAGGCTCACGAGGGCATATCCATTGAACACTTCACAATGGTTTGTTGCTGCATCCAAACCAGTCCAGATTGCTTGTAAAGTCTTTAAAAATAATTACAAACCCTTACAGTAAAGATAGAACTAAAACTTGCTTTTTTATTAAGGAAAGAAGGCTTGCTCTTTAGAAGAAAAATTACATCAGCAGAATCAAGCGGATATTAACCAGTTTTTCTTTTCAAACCTTACAAATTTTGGAAGAGTGGAATAGACTGACTTGTGCCCAAAATAGCTGCACATTCAATCATAGAGTGTTCATATGTATGTATTTGCATGCAGATAGCCAATGACAATTTTATTTTCTGTTTGTTCACTATTGGTAGATAGTATCAAAATAGATGGTGGTGGTTGTTTTGGTGTGTAAAAGTATAATTCCAGGCATACTGGTTGTGCTATGATAAAGAATGTTAGTTTAGTGCTGTCAAAACTAGATGATTATTAAGCAGTTTTAATTAGATGGCTTATTAGAACAATCTATTTCACTTTCCTTTCTTCTCTCAAGCATATAACTCACAAGCTGGCTAGATTGGTGCTAAATTTATTGAGTGTTTCTTTAGTCTCAGACTTTAAAAACAAATTTTTCCATACTCGCCAGGAGCTTGATCAAAGTCTACCAGAGAGGCAGCTTGAAGATCAAAAAAGGGTATGTATATTCAGTGATGGGGTCTAGGTTTAATGATAATTATCTTTGTAATTCCTTTGTTGCTCCTCTTTTCTTTCTAAATAGCATAAGGGAAGTGGATAAATGATGGAAGAGCTAGTTTATTTTTTAAAATCAAGAAATGTATTATGGAACAAAGTACAAATATCAGTTTGAAATGCTCAGATCAGACTTTGGAAGAATTCAGATGATGATAGAAAATGTGTCTCCTTTCATTTTATTCACTTATTATTTTCAGTGGTGCAGAATGTCATATGTGAGGACCGATTTGTTTTGTCTGACACTGTAAATAAAGGAAATGTAGCTTTAGCTGTATAGGTCAGTCAGCATTTTAAGTTTCCAAGATCCATGGGTTCAAAAAATGATTTGGTGGCACAGCATGTTTTTAACTTTGCAGTAATATAGTATCTGTCAGTTTGAATGCTTGATTTTCAACTGTGCAGTTATTCTTTATTGTGAACAGCACAGATGCTGAGTTCTAATTTTTATGAATAGACATCCTTTTATTTCTGTAAAGGTTGGAAATCAAAACTGCTATTCTGTTTGTTGTATAAGCAGTGGTCCAATCACTTTAGCAACTAGGAGTACACATTGTAGAGATCAAAATAAAAATACAATTCGAATATATATTTAGTGCAAATGAATGCGTTGCTTCTAGAAGGTAGTGAAATGACATCATTGGAGGTATATTATTTGACAAGAATCTGTTGTATATTCTTGCTTTCAGTCCTGCAGACCGCAGAAATGATATCCCCTGGGAATGCTACACATGTTGCTTCTTTCTAAGAATTCACCCCTATATACGCCCATTGTTATTTGAACTGGGATTTATAATGCTTGTATTATTGGTCATTGACTGTCTCAGTCCATGGTAACACATTCATGCTCTGATATTTTTCTAGAAATCCTTTCAGCATTCCTTGGTGAAACTTCTTCCATTGGGCATTTCTGTGGTTAAAACATAACTCTAGAATCACTATTGAATTTCAATATATTTAATAAGAGACTTGCAATATTTTTCATTTCTGTTCCTTGATGAAGGGAATTGGCTTATGTGTTTTTCTGCCCATGAGTATGAGCTGTGTATATGAGCTGTGGGCAGATTACATGATGCATCTCTATTTGGAGCCAGAATCCATGCCCTATAAGTGCACTGAGGAGCCTGTGTAAACCTGTTCTCTGCCCCATAGAACAGTGTGCCTTGGTCTGATTATTTCATGAATTGGTCCTTTGTGTTCATGTTAAAGATGGCCAAGGGACCGAGACATCTGTTTGCATTGAAAAATGGTATATGAAAACATTCATCCAAATAAAAGATTGTTAATACAGCTTTTTCTCTTCCCTTAAAAAAAAATGTTTGTTTTGCTTCTGACTAGCTGTTTTATATTGGACATTTCTAGCCAATGTATGACCTACTAGCTTTAATATTAGAGGTGTGTGAGGAGAATTAACTATGCATTTATGAATGTAAAATAAATGCTAATAAAATGGATGAATGAATTCCATTAACAGGCTGCTTAATGTTAGGGAAGTGAGAATCGCTTGCATTTTAGAAGGAGTTTATATCATTCTAGGAATGTCTGTAATTTCAATGTTATAGATTTCCTGAAGCTATTAAGTGAGGCTTAAATGAATAATTTCCTCTCTGGTTCTAATGGGTGCACCCTACTTTTAAGGCTCATTCTAATGCTTTATTCGCTTTGCATCCTGTGGGACAATTCATTTGACCAAAAAGTAATGATCATTTGCACTGAGAGCTGGCAGCTTTGAAGCAGCCTTGGCACCATCAGTGTCCACTTAAAAGTTTGCTGACTCTCACCTGTGACTGAAGTGGGAAGTGGTTATCTGTCGCCTCCAAACTGTCTGGTTAAGATCAGCATTGGCATCTGTCAGGAGCAAGTTGAAATATGGGAAAGAGCATGTGTGCACATATCCTGCATTAAACAAATTCCAAATAGGGGATGTCTCATATGATGAAGGGATGCTTGGATAATCCCACTGAATTCATTTTATTTTCATTGTCGTTCCAGTTTTGCTTTACCCTTTAAAAATTAATTTACATGACAAGATGTTAAAATGAACTGAAGTGAAGTTATGGAGATTTTTTAAGTTGGCTTAGCTTCATTACAAGGCAACTAATTTACACTGCATGTCACACTGTCTTACTGGGACTTTTGGCTTCGCTTCCACCCCATGCCAAAAATAGCTCAGCAGAGCAGAGCTGAAAGTAGAAGGTGATGTGTGACCGATACAGTGCTCACCTAGGGTGGATTGGGAAGTCCTGGTGGTGGAGAAAGGCTCTCGCCCTTTTTAGGAGATCATTAACAGGCACTGAAAAAACTGAAGACAAAACCAGTATTTACTATTAGATTGGAAACAGCTGTTGCTTTAATCACTCCAGTCGATGTTAAGATATTTTGATGAGGTCTCTTTGTGAGAATAATCCCTGCATAGTTTGAGCAAGAGGGGTGAGTGGCTTTAGAACTGAGCTGCAATATGTTTGCAATGGTATGAGAAGTCTTGTCAAATATTTCAGAATGATATACTGAAGCTTTTGTTCTTACTCCATCCTATCTTGATCGCTGCAGCAAGATACATCTGATCCTATATGTTTTTAGGTTATACCATAGAATTCAAATACTGTGTGTGTGGATTGCTTGCATTTCCTTCAATAGGTGAGGTATTTCCATCTATTGGCAAGAATTTAGTGGATTGGCCATTTCAAGGCCTTCAGTGTACAGTGGAGTCATCAATTGTTGACAGATAAATCAGTCCATATTCCTGCCAACTGGCAACTTGCTTTTGGTGAAGTATGTGTTTATGTGTCTGGGGTGAATGTGACAAGCTTAAAAACATGAGTATAACTGAAGCCGAGGGATTGTTCGAAGCAAGTATCTCATTCCAGTGTAAGTAGGCATATTTAAAATTCTTCATTGGTTGTGGTGGTGGTGGTGATGTGCTGTCAATTTGTCTCCAATGTATGGTAACCCTATGAATGAATATCCTCCAGAGTGTCCTGCTCTTGACAGCCCCACTCAGCCCTTGAAAACTCTTCACCGTTAGAGACAATTACATGCACACTTGTGCCATGGTAACTATTACATATTTAGCAAACCTGAGATTGAAGACATTTCCCTTCAGAAATAGATAGACTTTCAAGTCATTTAGCTAATTGGTACTAGTCAGAGAAGGGCAGTGTAAATGCTAGAAATACATGTTCTTTACTGTCCTGGATTGGTAAAACACTGCTCTTTTAAGTGCCCAGTCATCTTTTTTTCCTATATTGGTTTTAGTTTGCTCTGATCTTATAACAAAAACTGGGGGTTTTTTTGCTTAAATTAACATGGGTGCTAAACAGATGTTAAAAAGTCCTGTCTACATTTTAGTGTAGAATTGCGTGCACTTTGTTTATATTTGTCTGGTCTATGGAAAATAACTTTTTAATAGATTTTAATAGAAGGATTTTAGTGCTGCTTTGTTTAGTTTTTAATAATAGTACTGCATTGTTTTCTCTTCTCCTCAAACTCATCAGTATTGTTGCATCAGCCAAACCGAAATTAACTTTGACCATTGGCTGTGATTTTGCTAGCTTGTTTCATTCATAACCTGTGTGCGTGTGTTTTAATATTTTGTCTGAATTAAGGGTGAGGCACTCAGACTAGTTTTGGTCAACCGTTACTATGGCAACATCAGAAGTGCAGGAAGAAGAGAGAGCCTTACCAGCTTTGGCAATGGCCCATTATCTCCAGGAGGCCCTAGCAAAGCCGGGGGAGGAGGTAGGATACTCCATATTCTCATTAATAAACTTATGTGATTGCCATGTTGACTATTCTTTCTTTGAATAACCAATTGGCTATTTATAACAGCTTTAGCCGCTTTCTCAGCAGGTATTTTATCTTCCACGATGCTTTTCTGTCACTCGCTGAATGGAATTCCTAAAATGTTGGAAATTGATCCAGTTATTAGCTTCTTCCTTCTCTCCCCCCTTTACCTACCACACATTTATTTTTATCATGTTACAAGATATTCTGAATATAGCTAACCATCTCTAGGTATGTTTTTCAATTATTATTGTAATCGGCAACTACCAAGCTTGGTTCTATAAAACATATATTGCTAAAGGTTTTTAAAGAACGCTCCTATGTATGCATTCAAGCAAAATCAATTCTCACATATATATATATTCAAGCAAGAGCAGATGTAGAAACCAGCAAACCTAAGGAGCGAGCTTGTTCATGTTTAGACAGAAAAAATGCCTAAAGATGGACGTATTTTATCTATCTAAAAATGTTTACGAACGCACCCTTAAAAATGAACTGACATAGAAACTAGCTAGCTAATATCCTACACTAATTATCTTTCCTATCTTTCTTCTAGTGATGATCTAGTTTCAATATCCATGTTCCCATTCCATTGTGGTGCTCATTCTTAGGCTTAGCAAGAGATATTTCTGTTTTCATGACAGAAATGTGTCTCACGCACCCGAAAGATTAATATTGAAGTTGTTTCTTAAAATGTTATTTTTGCTCTGGTGTTTTCTACTGCCCTGTGGGCAAACTAAAGACAGTCAGGGCCTACTACTTACAGCGTAGTGAACCTTCCATACCTTACATGACTTTACATGGACCTTGAGCCTTCACTATTTAGGAATCTCTGCATAATATATAGAAAAGTATCAGGATTTGAAGGAAGCAACAAGCCTGCAGCTAGTAAACAGACCAGCTGGCAGCAGCTGGGGGTAATGATGAAAGGTGTAATGCCCCAGTGAGAAATGGGAACACAGTTCAGTGGTAGTGCCTATGGCTTATCCATGGAAGGTCCCACATTCAGTCCTGGGATCGCTTGCTAAAAGGACAGTTAACAGGTGATCATAAGTCCTCTGCCTTAGACCTCGGAGAGTGACTGCCACGCAGAACAGACAACACTGGCCCAGATGGACAGATAGACTGTGCCCTGCTTCAGACTGAGACTATGTGTTGGAGGCAATCCCAGTACAGTTCTGTTCTTTCTTGGGTTTGAACCACCTGAGGACATTTCAGGATTGAAAGCAAGAAAACAAACAAGCAAACAAACAAGGGCACAATCCTATTGCTTCTGCTCTTGAGCCAAACTCAGAGACTTGGGTGCATTCTGTGCCCCAGTTAAGGTATGCTGCTGGTGTTGTTCACTGCTGCCACTGTACCTCGTGCCCTGATTTTTCTCTAGATGGCCACTCTTGGCTGCCTAGATAAAGTGCAAGGGAGGGCAAGAAAAGGAGGCTAGGATAGCAAAAGGTATTGCATTAGACCTTAGCCCCGGCCACTCCTTCCTGCTTCCTGGCATTTCTTCTTTCCCCCCTTCTGAGCCACATCTGTGACCTCTGGAGAGGAAGCCAGCAAAGTTCTTTCTGTGCCATCTGGAAGGAGGAGGGGCAGGGGCTCAGTCTTCAGATGTTGGGGTGCCATAGCATTGCAGCCTTATTGTATTTATTTATTGCCTCACCACATTTCTAGTAACTTTATTTATTTTATTTTATTTATTTTTTGATTTATATCCTGCCTTTTTCCTACAAAGGGCTCAAGGCAGCTTACATCTCCTCCTCCATCTTATCCCCACAACAACAACCCTGTGAGGTAGGTTGGGCTAAGAGTCTGTGACTGGCCCAAAGTCACCCAGTTGGCTCCATGGCTGAGTGGGGACTAGAACCCAGATCGCCTGAGTCCCAGTCCCATGCCCTCAACCACTACGCCACACTGGCTCTCAGAAACCTTCCTTTTTAGGGAGGCTTTTTGGTCATAAATATTTACTCCCTTTTTTGAATCAGTGTGGTTGTTTTTTTAGGTGCTTGTATTTTCATCCCCATTTCTCTCTGGATTAAATGTTTTATAGGTACTTTATTTATTGTTAAACTGTTTTTTAAATCATGAAATTAATGATTTAACTTGTGATGTTAGCCATCTTGAGCTTGCTGAGGTAAGGAGGCGTATAACTGTTTTAAATAAATATGTGCATTTTTTTAAAGCTGATGTTATCTTTTTGCATTATAAAGGGCCAAGCATGTTGTTGTCACTCAGATAAGTAATACATTTGGAAATAAATGTGAATATTTTCACAGTAAGACATCGCTTCCTCCTTTTTACATGAGTGTTAGTTACATTGTCTGATATAAGTAATTAAATGGGAGACATGAGATGCTCACTGTTTGCTCATTGTTTGGGATTTAACCTTTTCATAGGAGGCGGGTCTGGTTCCAGCTCGGCAAATCGTGGTGAAATGAGTTTGGCAGAAGTTCAGTGTCATCTCGATAAGGAAGGTGCATCCAACCTGGTCATAGACCTCATCATGAATGCCACCAGTGACAGAGTTTTTCATGAAAGCATCCTGCTGGCTATTGCCCTGCTGGAAGGCGGTAACACTATTATACAGGTAGGAGAAATATTGCTTCACTTTTATTGATAAGGTTGAGGGTATGTTAAAGAACCTTAAGCTTGAAGCTCCATAAAGTGGCAGCAGCTATCCTACTCTGACTATGCACTATAATTAAACTACATGCTTTCCAGGATAATACATCACTTCCTGTATAAGAAAACAGAAATCTGCTCTGGGTGATTTAGCAAGTAACCATACCGATATGGCAGTGTGGATAGACTCTGCCGATTAGGCTGTGTTCAGGAATCATGCAGTTCATTCACAATTGGGTTTTCCATATCTTAAGTCCAAACACAGAACCTAACCAAGTACCTTAAGAAATGTCAGTCAGAAAATAATGCATAGGATTTTACTTACTTTCATATGTGTGCATTTGCACATTGGGCAATATCTGAAGGGGCCAGGTCTCTCCAGTTCTGTCAGTTTCCTTCCACAAGAGGCTCCCACCATTTCTGGAATGGATATTTAGCATTTCCGAGGTCAGCCTAGAATAAGCAAAAATCCTAATTTCTGGAACAAATCTCTGCAGGGCAGTAGAGAACTTATCAGGACCCTCCACCAAACTGTTCTACTCGGAAGCAAGTATTTCTGATCACTTTGGGGCTTCTTTTATTTCCATTCCATTCCAGTGTTAGCTTCTGGTTTCACAATGGAGTCAGAAGGTCCCGTTGCTTATGGAGGGAAATCAGCTGGGCTCAAAAGAGTTGGCAGGGGCATAGGTGTCCCCTTGAATGTGACCTATTGTGTATGGGGTGGGGTAGGGCATGCAAGGGGCTTGGGTGGACTTGATCGCCTTTACATCATCCAGCCCACTGGGGCTTGTTGCGGAGGGATCTTTGGTCTCCAAACGAAAATGCTTGCCTGTTCTTGCCCTTTGAACACATCGAAAGAGTGATTATACAGGCTGGGAGAGAACCAACAGAAGAGAGAATGATGGATCATTAAAAATATCAAATAGGAAATAGTGATAAACTATGTCAAGGCAGCAGAAAGGTCAGGAAGAATAAGGACTGAGCTGAAACCTTTGGATTTGGCACTAAAAAAGTTCTCAGTGATTCGAATGATGTCACTTCCAGGGAACTACAGACACCCATATTGCAAATGGTCAAATTGAGGAGAGAAAGATTCAGAGGGCCATATGGAAAGGTCACATAGCGATGATAGGGTAGTCAGCTCACCAGATGTGAGTGGGCAGAAGGATCAAAGCACAGTGTACAGTTGAACTGTGGAATTTGCTGCCATAAGGTGTAGTGATATTTAGACATATTCATGTCTAATCAAACCATCAATGGTTATTAATCCCAATGGTTATATGTTGTTCCCCATGTCAGAGGCAACAGGTTGGTGTGCAACAGTGCTGTGGAACATGGACAGGCGATTGTTCTTGCATGCCTGTCCTCCTTAAGGTAGCTTGTTGGCCCCTTTCTGAACAAAATGGACCCTTGGTCTCATCTATCAGGGCTCTTCTTGTGCTCTTATGTAAAGAGGTGCTGGAACAGGAAAAGCTGGTAGGGAAGCCAGCAGAAATCAGAGCAGATTAGTATTGAAAGATGTAGATTGAGAAGAGGCTCTTTGGGTTCCTTGAATTGCTGTGGACCAGAGAAATGAAATTACATTTATGGAGGCCACAATCAGTGATATCTTTTATTTTGCTCCAGAGTACTGCAGTACTTTCAGAGAATTTCAGAAATTAAAGTCTGAATTTGATCATTCCAGTGGATGCATGATAACATAATAGTCTGGTATGTTCCTGAAGCTATGGGAGGTTTGGGTACACCTGCTCTCTTTAGCCTGCTCTCTTTTCCTACCACATAAACATTGATGGAACACAGTCTGTATCTGTAATAAATCCACTAAAGGGAATCAAGTGAAAACTGAAGATCATATACAGGAAATGGTTATTTATCATGTAATTCCTTTTATCATATAGGCATTTTAAGATTTTCTTTTGTCTCTCAGGGTGAAAAAATCTCTGCTCACATGGTTGGAAAGAAAGGGGTTAACTAGTGCATGTGCGTGTGCAGACACACACACACGCACACACTCCAGGCACACACTCCAGTCTTTCATTCAACCTGAAACCACCCAGGGCTGCTTTACTTACTTTATATGCCCCCCTCCAGAGAGAAGCGGGGGGGGGGGGGGGACAAACCTGCACCACTGGGAAGCTTTGCCTCTTGAGCACCAGGATGAATTGGGTTCAGGAATACATTAATCCTGAATATGAAAGAGAAAAGCCTGTGAAATGCTGGGCTCTCTAAAAACCTTTGTAACAATCAGGGTGCTTTAACAGGGAATATAATCAAAACTTGGATGATTGTTTCCTCTGTAGTCCATTTCTCTTTTCATTACTCTTACTTTGTCTTTTGTATCTTGTCTCCTTCTCATTTTCTTTCTTTCCTTTTTCATTTCTTTCTTCCTTTTTGTTCCTTTTCAAAATACGGACCATGATTTCCTGTAAAGCAGCATGGCATAATATTTCAGAGCACAAGTGGACAACAGTGATTCTCCAACTGTTTTGGCTTACAACTCCCATCATGCACCATCATTGATTATATTAGCAGGATTGATGGGAGTTGGAAGCTCAAACATCTGATGGGATTCGAAATGCCCACCCCTGATTTAGAGTGGTTGGTTGGTTAAAGCGTTTTTTCTTTAAAGCATTGTGTTTCTGTATTTCTTTAAAAGCATTGTGATCTTTTTTTATTATATTTTTATTTTATTTTCTTACATTTATATCCTAGTTTTCTTCCATTTTGGAACTCAAGGTGTCTCCATGCAGTTCCAAGGTGGTCATTCCTCTAAAACTGACCATATCTTCTTGCCCTCGTTAAGGCAGCTCCCTTATGTGGCTTCAGACCATGCCCTGGAGCATTAAAGATTATTGTCATTCTTCTCTTCCATTTACCGTTATTGTATTCATCAGATTCCATTAAAATATTTTCATATAATAGAAAGATTATATTTATAAATGCACCACTTCACCTCCCTAGAGTGTCAGTTTTCTAAGGTCTGTGAAAATGAATGATGAATAAACTGCCTTACATAACTTTCTCTCCATGGAAATTTTGGTTGGTTCATTTAATAAGGGATCTTCTCTAACTCTGACTTCTGCTGCTTTGAGTAGTTTTGTTTCTAACCACAGATTTTTTAAAAAAATGTGAAAAAATGTATTAACAGACCACAAATCAACTAAGATGAATTTATTTTTTAAATGAACCAAAAGAAGGTAACTATAAAATAGGAGAAGGGGTGGGGGAATCATTTAAACTTGCAGCCTCCAGCTAGAAAGCAATACAAAAACAAGTATAATCAGGCTGCACTTGTAAAATAAAAATCAATAAAGAAAGACAGTAACCTAATTTGCATGATCACCATGTCTTAAACAAGCTATGGGTGAGATTTACTTAATTAACTCAGATGCAGTTTGTTGTATGGACTGAACCTGAGTGGCATGACTTGCTTAAGGCAAAGCACCATGGCCTGTTTTTAGGTTCTCTGTTACCCCTCAAATGACCCATGCCACCAAGGTTCAAACAGCACTGGATAAGGCACTTGGATTGATAATTAAGCCTGGCGTGCACCACTGTGGCTTGTTTAAACTGGGGTTCTTGTGGTAACCAGGGCAGTTAGGTTTTCTTCTTTAGAAGCAAAATCTGATGCAGAATAAAATAGCTTTCTAGAAGGACTTGATGGATTCAAATAAAGTGATATGAAGGCTTCAGTGCAGAATCAGCCAGACATGAGTCATATTTTTGTCTATTTGCCTTCCCATATTGAGTCTAGATGGATCTTCCCATATGTACGTCATTTGAGATGCTGTAATTTGAAAGCATAATCTGTCCCAGTCGAATCTGTGGTGTTTTCAGCTGATGTGGGGTAATGATGACAGTTTTGCTTACAGTTTTTTGTTCCCTGGTTGTTCCTTTGCATGTACACGTGCATGTGTGCGCTCTTTCTCTCTCTGTGTGTGTGTGTGTGTGAGAGAGAGAGAGAGAGAGAGAGCATTAATATTGCCCTCATAATGAGTTCAGTATTCGTATATGTGAAATCTCTATTCTATTGGACAATATTAAAACGGTAACATATGAAACATGCTCATTAAAAAGAGCTTATATACTTATAAATCATATTTATTGATTGCTTTTGATTTAACCTTACTTTTCTACTAAAAAGGTACTCTATATCAAGTACAAGAATAATTAAAATTGATTAAAACAATAAAGCAACACTATAAAAATCAAAAATATATTATTAATCAGTACCCAGCTCCGCATATCCACTTACAGACCAAAGACCACCATGAACAAAGTGATCTTTGCTGGGTGACAGAAGGATATTTGTACAGCATAGTGACTTTTTCACTTTAATTTTGGCCAGTTCCAAGGAAATATTGTTTGCTAGATATTCACAAATTGTCTATAACAGTCATTCTCAAATTCCGTCAGAATTAACTTCTAATTAAAATATGTATATTCCTTTCAGAAATGGCAGAATATATTCTATTTGTGTGGCCAAATGACTTAAAGGGGCAGGGGGAATAACAGGATCTTGTTTGAATGCCTTTATGTGAAAATTCTCACCATGTTTACACTGTGCAGCACGTTTCTGGCTCTGGCACTGTGGGCTGCAGCAAGCACTGGCTTTTACTTACCATTGGTTGTTTGGAGCTGCGTCATTGCACTAGGATCTCAGTACTGAACTATGTGTGCACTTCTAAACACAGGGAGTTGCTTTATTGGGTCATTTTGGTATGACCTTCCTGAAAACCTTTAAGCTCTTGCTGCAGAGCTTAGCTTGTCCCATTGCACCCCTGCTATATCTGCTTTAGAGACAAATCCATATCCAGAGCTATACTTTGGAAAGGTATTTAGTAAGTTTGGCATTGCCTTGTGGCCCACACTTTGCTTGAGCCCAAAGCAGTACCTACTTCCCTTGAACCCAAGATGCTTCCTATGTGTAACTACGGCATCTAGAAAGAATAGTGCATTTGTAGCCAGACACCAAGGGCCACCTATTTCTGTTTTATCTGTCAAGTATATATACCATTTATTTAGAACTTTTAGATGATCCCTAACAGGATCACAGTCCTTGACAAGCAGGCAGAGGCAGGTTGTTCAAAACAAAGTCATGCTGTGTGTGCATGCATGCGCACACGCGCACACACACACACATACACGCATATACACACACACATATATATATAGAGAGAGAGAGAGAGAGCGAGCGAGTGAGCGAGCGAGCGAGCACAGGAATCAACAAAGATGTTATATAACTTCTATTTATATCCTACTTGCTCACTAGCTGCAGGCATACAAGAGAAGCTGAGAAGGGAATTTAATGAGTTTTCAAGGCTTGCTCACCTTCCCCAAGCTGGTAGAGACAGCTTGAGTTTTTGTTTTTTTCAAGTGCATCAGCAAACGAAGCTGGTAGGTGGTGTGGGTAGATGGACTGACTTGTTGCTATGGTTTTCTATAATTCTCCTTTCTTTCTTGCACTGCATGCATACATACATACATACGTACATACATGAGGGTTCCTCACTTCCAGGAGCCTGTAAAACATCCTGGTTTCTCACTCTA